AACACCGACTCCTCTGGGTCCCCAAAGTTGGTCCCCACTGTGGGATCAGGGGAGGGGAGAGTCCGCTGAAACCAACCAGTGTGGGCGCGGAGGAGGGGAATTTGAACTTTTTTTTTTTAATGAAACTAATAAAGATCAGTTGTGGAGGTAGACCGTAACACGTGCGTTTGTCTGTAAAATAATACACGACTAAAATAAATGTAGCGGGAGAGAAAGACAATGGGGGGAGGTACCTCCCTGGTGCCTCGGCTGCAAGTCTGAGAAGAAGAGCTGCTTGATCTCCCTGCCTCTAATCTCAAGTTTCCGAGGCTCGACCTGCGAGCTCAGGGTCTGGTGCTTCAAACGCCCGGGGCTGCGGTGGGAGGCAGGGTGTGGACCCCGCTCAGCTTCTCAGAGAAAGAAGGAGGCTTGCATCTGCCTCTGGATGGAGAAAACAGGGGACCAGGGCCTTAAAAAGCCATAAGCAGAACCACCCTGTGCACACTAATGGCTCAAAGTGCCCGGGAAGTTCTTTTATTCGATTGATGCTAGGGTGGGACATCTTAACATTAACCAAAGAGCCTCCTTGGCCTTTAAGTTTCCTGCGAAATGAAGTTAAATACCTTGCAGTCTTTTATAAGTACTTACAAGTCATCACTTAACGGCCACGTGATGAGCTAATCTTTAAAGGCCCTCATTTTACTTTATTAGAAAGGCCTCAGAATGTAATTATGCCAGGAAGATATGGAAATATACTGTAACTGGCTTTAAAGGCAACTCATCTAAAAAGCAGCAAAATCTACGAAAGCCACTGGTGTTTGAATCAGCTGAATTTTTTAAGTCATGTGACAATATGCACATTTGGAAGAAGATATAAATGTAGAAGGAGGTTGCCTATGTTTTCATGGAAAGATTAGTAACAAGTTTAAAGGTTTGGGAAGCCTTATGCTATCTTTTGGAAGATATTGTTATGTTAAACACCTTAGGAGAGAAACACAAGCAGTAGTGTAGACGGTAAATGGTACATCTGAATATTCTACTTTTGAAGAATGTTCACAGTTTTATTTTCAGTAATGAATTAAAGAGTTAGATATTTAATTTACAGTTGTTGAGATAACATATTGTATCAGGCAAGATTAATTTAATAAGCTTTTCACCTGTTTTTTATTAATTAAAATATAAATTTTCATTTGTCACAGTAGTATAAACTCTTTAAAATGCACAGTGTTGTGTATACAAAATACATAGGTCTTAGAGGGCTTTATATTTTACCAACTTTCAACAAGAAATTAGATTATTAGAAAGTATGAAATTTGTGCTTATACAAATAATAGCTATTTTGCAAACATTCTGAGCTTTACAAATGTTTAATGGTAGCGATTTCTCTTGCAACACTGTGGTGTTTTTAGTTGGTTTCCATTTTGAATTTCACAAGCCAATACCCATATATGTATATGGCTACATGTACATATAGATGAATATGTACATGTATACATACATGTATATTATTGGCACCTTTTATACATTTTATTATTGGCACCTTTAATGTGAGTTTAATCTATGTTACTGTTTTCCCAAAGCAACTGCGGAGAAATTTCATTGCATCTAAAAAAAAAATGTTAAGACTCCAGTGACATACTTAAGATACAAGTGCTTTCCACAAAGTTAAAATTTTTATGTTTTTTATTATATTGAAAGAATGTGACTGAATTTATCAGCTTCTTTTCACGTAATAGTATGTGTCCAATCACATTACAGTTATAATTTAGTATTTTAGAAGCAACTATCTGAGGACCAGTTTCCTCAAATGTAAAGCAAAACTTCCATTATCTAAACTTCTTTCCAGCTCTATAATTTCATCATTTTAAATATTGTATATTCTATACAGTGCCCAGGACAAATAACAGTAACATCTTCTAAAGGTCATAAATATTAAAAGGAATCAATGAGCAAAGATATTGCACCAGGCAACATTTTCTTTATCTTGCAGCCACACTCATTTTAAAAGATTTATTTTGTAATTTCACTACTCCTTAAGTTTTGTAAAATTTTAGTAATTATTGGTACCTAGAAAAAGTACAAATCTGACAACATAAATACACATTTTAAAATCTCAATAGTTATTACCTTTTCATAAAGAAACTCAAACAGTAAATCTTTGAAAGCTGTTATTGCTTGCATAAATCAATTTAAATTTTTTCTGAAATCATAAGATTTTAAACTGAAGAATGATATAGAAATGGGTATTAAAAAGGCCCAAATTTCTTAAGATTTAAGATGTTCTGAATCTGATATGAATAATGATCATGAATGTAAGATTTATTTAGTTCTAAACATATACCAATTTTTCTTTTTCAAAATCATTTCTAATCAATTGGATCACACCCACGGATACTGGACAGACTTTTTTCTAAGGCTGTTCCCTGTGTCGGTGAACAGCATCAGCTGTCCACTTATATAAGACAAATTAGTGAGAATCTTTTTGGCCCCTTCCCCACCCCAGCACCATTCAACTCCATTCTCTTGGCAGCTACAAGAATGATCTGCATGAAATGCAAAGTTGTACATATATTATTCCCTTGCTAAAAACCTTTAAATGGTTCCCCCACCAGCCTAAGCATAATCCTAACTTCCTCATTAGATTTCAAAGGTTCTTTTTAGTCTGCCTCCTCCCATCCTCTCCACTTACTTCAGTCTTACCTCTTTTACCCTCCCTACTTCTTTACCTCCTGCCAACCCTCCCTCCCAATGCACTCATTGTTAAATTACTCTGATTTCCCCTAGGGACAAGAATGTGTCTTTGATCACTTAGCCTGAAACATTCTTCAATCCTTTCTCTAGCCAGCTCCTACTATTCCACTGGGTCTCTGATTAGATGATTTCCTGCAACCAGCTTCTCATATTCTCCTTCCACAGGTTCTCTAATCCTAACTCTAACCTTCCATAGGCCCTGGCACACAGTATTGTAATTACCCATTTCCCTTTATTTTTCTGCTAAATTAAGCAGCTGACCTGTGTCCAAAAGGAGGCTGCAAGTGGAAAGAGCCTGACCTTTCAACTCAGAGACTTGGATTCCAAACTCAGTTCTTGCATTTACAAGTTGGGTGGTTTTCAGCACATTTCCTAATGTTTTTTGCATCTCAGTTTCCATCCTGTAAAGAAAGATCATAATAAACACTAGTGAGAAAATGTGTGTAAAGCATCTTTCACGTAGCTAGGAGTGATGATTAAGTTTACTTGTCAAGCAGCCTAGGGGATTCTTAGTAAAGCATACTTGTGAGAGTGTTTGGGTAGGTCATGGAGGTGTGATCTTGAGGTCTACACCTGGTTTCTGGCCCTTTGCTTTCTGGTGCTGTTCCCCTGCTCTCCTTTCTGGCTGTTAGGAACTACTAGCTTTGCTCTGTCACACCCTTCCACCACGGCGTTTCTACCTTGGAGCCAGCTAGCCATGGACTGAACCCTCTGAAGTCATAAGCCAAAGTAAACTTCCCCTCTTTAAGTTGTGGCTGTCAGGTATTTTGTACCAGTAACAGGAGAAGGAACACTAGGCACTCAGCAGATGCTCAGGAAACAATTGTTATAAACAATAACAATTTTGCCCAGAATCTCCTCCTAGACTGAATTCTTCTCTAGAAAATGGACAGTTGTTTTACCAAATGGACATAGATGAAAAAGAAAACTGATTTTCCCAATCCTATAAAGATTCGTTCAGTTGTATGTGAGCTTGGAAGGTAGTTTAATGGGTGTCTTTGGTGTCTCAATTTATTTATCTGAACATGCTTCATGTAATTAATGTAATCAAAAGATAGACATGAAAGTATTTTTGAATAAAGGTACCATTTTGAAAAGATATATTCCTCTGGTTATTGTTGGTTTAAAAATGCTATTTTAAGACATTGAAATATATGAGATTAACTGGAGGCTAATAAACCATAAATACTTTAAAGCAGCAAATCCTCACTTTTAGTCAGGACCCTTTATGTTTGTCTTTCTGCATCCTTTTTAACGGTAAAGATAAATTATGGAACAAGTTATTAGGAATTTCACCACACTTTCTTCCCCCATCTACTATAGAAGTTATAAAACTAAGCAAATGAACATCTACTATAAAACAGGCCCCAGTAATCAGGAAATAACTGTACCTTGTACCACAAAGCCTTGAATGACTGAGATTGAGATTTTGTTTACTATTCACATTCTAGACTCACAGACCATTAAGACAAAAAATGTGTAACATTCTGAGGAAAAAAGATTGAACACATAAATATTTCACTACCTTCAAATTCCACAAAAACAATAGTAAAAAATTATGGTGAAACACATAAGGTAAAAAGAATAGGAAAGAAA